TTTATATAAAGTCCCGGTCAATTTTACGTATGACCATAAGGTGGAAACCTTATGGTTGAAATCCTCTTAAAAGATTCCGTTTTGTACTATTTAAGGATTTTTTAACTGTTTAAGAAATATAAATCTGTATTGAGGATGATAGGATAATATTTGGTTTTCATATTCTACACAACTATGTTGTCAGGGTATTATAGCAGCTCAAAGAGTTTGTAAATCCGAAATATGGGTCCTAGACCCAACTTTAAGTATATCGATCGTCATATCTCAACTAGCTGAGTCGATCTAGACATGTGTATCCGTCCGTCTGTCCTTAGTAATTTGTAAACACGATACAAGCCTTAGTTATGAACCAATCGCCACGAAATTTTATACGTACCGCGGGTTCTGGCGAAAGAAGACCCCCATTTTTATTGGTAATAATATGTTAATATTTATGGAATAAAATGCACTGTTTTCTGGTCGCTGTAGACATAATTAAAATTAATTAATTACAAAATTAAAATTAAAAATTTTTACACGAAGAAGGCTAAAGAATAACCATGACTGTTTCGGTGAACATCGGTCAATATTTAGCGGGTCAAGTGGACCCAGACTTTGGTGTGAAAAATAACAAAATTAGTATTGTATGGCGTATGATATCCTAGTGGATATATACCGGAGAAGTTAAAAGTATATCGAAGTTAAAAGTTTTTTATTTTCGTTTAGGTCATCTAACACTCAACCAGTGTTAGTAAAAAGTATCTAACTACTACCCGCTCATCCCCATGTAAAATTAGTTAGTTGGTTCAAAGGAAAATAATCGATAAATGGACTAGTAGTGACTATTTTAAAATTAATTTAGAGTTAGTTCAAAACTAGTTCATTTCCCTACAGGGTAATATGATACCGTAAGAAAGAGGAGCCGATGACATTTTATCGGTCAAATATCGGTTCAGAATATGTAGAGTAGTGTAGAGTATCATATGGTCAGACACGTCCAACTATACTGCTCCGCTCACTGGTTTAAAATATATTTTGAAATTTCATTGCTACTACTCATATGATGGCGATGTACGGGTCCACGTTTCAATATAGCCACTTAAACCCTCCATTTCCCATACAGAAAATGTTCTTTGTGAGGTTCTAGTCCCAGCACAATAAAAAGCAAAGGTATATTTTGATGGTATTCAGCTATTCAAATGGCGTATATAATTTGTTCTGGAAAAAATGGTCTGCCAAAGTTGCATTAGAATTGACCTTATCACACAATAGGGCGTAAATTTGTCAATTGTCAGAAAATTTCGAGATTAATCTATGAAGAACGTTAAATTAGACTTTTGGTTGATCGCCAATTTTTCCGCTCAATGGGCCACATTGAAGACCCTGTTCTACAGTACCACTTTGTTTGCCCACCCTAAACGCGTATATTTATGTATTACATATTTTTTGATCTTCCAGTATATTTGATCGTATACATATTTATTATTTTAATAATGATAATACGTATACGTATAATCAAAGTGTTTCTAATACAAAAAAATTGTCAGCAATGGTAATATCAAATAGATACCCGAAACTTAGCATTAAAATATTCTTTTTAACATTGTAACCCTATCTATGACTTCAAATGGTAGTTAATAAAATGCAAAAAAAAATTAAATTCCTTCAGCTCAATAATCATTGTCACAAAAGACACCCAATACTCCTTACAAAACAATTTTTATTCGCAATATAATATTTACGATATAATCCGTTAATTTCATTTATCATCTATTTTTCTATATTTTATTTCTAAAGTGGGTAGCAAAAAATTTCAATTAACTGCTACATTTTCCATTTTGACCCTTCATAAACTTCAGTCACTGTGTTGCGATGAATTGTGTTACAATTTTAGTCCGAACTTTAATCTACTCGTCTTTTTTGCTTTTTGGGTTTTATTTCCTTTTGATGCATTTTTGTTACATTTTTACATCATTACTCTTTGTCGTCGCAACTCCTCAACTCAACTCAATTCAACTCGACACGACTTGACTCACCTGATTCATTTCCTTTGTCCACTGTTTTAACGGGTGAAGCACTATACACCTGCTGATTGCGGCGATTGTCATGGTCTTCTTTGTATTCACCCGGTAATGTGCGGGATTCATAGCCCTCGGCCAGGGGGCCACATAGAGTGCGACGATGTTTTATGGTTAAAGCTCTGGAGGGGTCAGAAAGACACACACAAACACACGTACGATGGTGGCGACAGCAAAACATTCATCCAGTAACGATGCAAAACATGAAACATTGAAAAAAAAGAGTAGAAAAAGAATTGTAGGGAAGGAGAGAAAGAAAAAAAACAACATGGAAAATGTTAAAATGGCACATAATTAAAAACGTGAGAATTAGATGAGTTTCCTTTTTTCACAACAACAATACTACAAAAAAACAACAAGAAAGAAAGAAAAATAAAACACACAACGCCGACAGCAAGCAACAGTGAGAAAAACCCCTTACAGCAACAACAACAACGACACCCTCACGTTGAAGACGAAGTAAGAAGACTAATTACAGGGCATACAGAAGTTAATTCGTCCGTTCATCTTAAGCATAATGGGCTAGTGTAGTTTATTGCTGTCAGAGTTAATATGAGAAAGAGATTAATTAAATTCGTTTTTCTTCAACGACTGCTGCCAGCTACACTCTGCTGTCCTATGTACATAAACTAGTCTTAGTCTTCAAACTAAATGGCTTATGTTCTTAAAGATTACTCCGAGAATAGTCCATTTATTGTTTAACAATTTGCAATGGAACACTAATGGTAATGAATAGTGTATGAAGAAGAAAGGTTAGGGAGAGTGGGTGGGGAGAGATAGATAGATGTGTTTTTGAGGGAAGCCCTTGCGAAAGCCACAAGATTCACTACTAAAGATATGGTTGGAACATTTATTTGTTTTTTTTAGCCTGTAATAATTTGTAGGGTAATACTCTGTGGGAACAATTTGTCCGTATAGGCTGACTAATTCGAATACTGAAGAAAATTTAAATTGAATCTATATAAACATCTATATACATACAATATAACATCTATATACATACATTTTAAATAAATATTATTTTAAATAGTTTTTTTTTTTATTAAAATTCTACTTACATTGTTATTATGGCCACAGTTATAATAACAATGACAATAAACGTCGACAGCCAGTCGCCATTGGTGGGATTTGTAGCATTAATGAGGTTATTCATTAAATCATTTTCCGATGGAAAGACGGGAGGTGGTGGTATTGTAACACCATCTATATTCGTTGTAGCGAAGTGATAATGTTCCGTTGTTTTACCAGCATCATTTGTGGCCGATATACGCAATTGATACCATTTAGCCGGTTGAAATTCACAAAATATTAGATTTTCACGGTTCTCCTCAGCATTGGAAATATCCGAAGTTACTACAGTCCAACGAACATCACCTACAAACGATAAAATGTTAGCATAGATTAATAAAAATTTTTTTGTTATGCATTAGTTGATAATCAATCTTAAGCCTAATGAGGGTATCATGATAACGAAAACAAAATGTGACTTGTGGAAATAACGGTATTAGTTCCCAAGTGTCTTTAGACCAAATCATTTTCAGACAAATTGAAGTTGATTTCAATTTTTTTACCCTGGCTCGAAAGGAATAACAGATTTGATTTTACTTTCACACTTTAAAATAGTTCTTTCAATAAAAAAGTACCTCTCTCACAGAGCTTATATGGCATATAAAGCGAAGAATGAACCCTGTTTAGTCTAAACCTAGTGTAAATATCGTCTACATCTCCTGTATTATATCCCAACAAATTCTAAAAATTTCGATAGTTCACATGCGCATAATTCTCTCATATAAAGGTAACCCTCATCTTCTGTAGTTTTATTGTTCTCGGCGCAATTTTCTAACCGAAGTGTCAATAATTTGGCATTGCAAGTATTCGCAGAAAATTGCTATTATATGTCTATACTTATAATCCGGATATGCCGATGATGAACATGCGATACACTTGTTCTTTTTAATGTGTTCAATTTGTAAATTCGAATGATATAGCTCTGCAGAACATAACGGTAAACAAAGCGGTATGATTAGAGCCTCAAATAGGTCGGTAGAAAAACCCGCGTGACCCTTATGAGAAAGCCATATACCCACAAACCATGTTAGAAAGTAAGAAATATCCCGACCGTTTACATTTTTCTTAGTTCATATGTTAGCTATGTACGGATTGGATGATTATTTTTTAAATAGCATATTTTTGAATTACTGTAGGGTCGAATTAAAAATATATATATATATATATTTTTTTTTGATTTTAAGTGATTATTTATACTCTTTCGAGTCGAGCTTGATGATCTAAATTTTGCAATGAAAAGGAAAGCCAGGAGAAGAACCTACGTACCCACCATTATGCGACGCGTTTCGCCGTTGGTTAAGCGGCTCATCAGGCATATTGGGCTATTTGGCTTTACAAAGGTCGTACGTTGATAACTTGTATTTATTCCGCCCTGATGCGAAACTTGCATATGCGAATTAAATTCAAATTTGTCAAAGTTCGACATTTGTCTTCATTCTAGGAACAGTCCTTTTCAAAGCAGATTTTTGTTGTAGCGATGGATAATTAATCCACACACCTACAATTGCTTCCATGGTATACACATGTTTTTGCGCAACCGTTTTTGGAAGTGTGTTGATGGCTCAGAACGTTGAGTGGTCTTGGCAACATTTGTGTTGCTCCGAGGACCTAGGTTCGAGCCCTAGCCGTGCTCGGCTGAAATTAATTTTTGTTATTTGAATTTTTGTGATCATTTTGAAAGTGATTTTAAGTGATTATTTATACTCTTTCGAGTCGAGCTTGATGATCTAAATTTTGCAATGAAAAGGAAAGCCAGGAGAAGAACCTACGTACCCACCATTATGCGACGCGTTTCGCCGTTGGTTAAGCGGCTCATCAGGCATATTGGGCTATGTGGCTTTACAAAGGTCGTACATTGATAACTTGTATTTATTCCGCCCTGATGCGAAACTTGCATATGCGAATTAAATTCAAATTTGTCAAAGTTCGACATTTGTCTTCATTCTAGGAACAGTCCTTTTCAAAGCAGATTTTTGTTGTAGCGATGGATAATTAATCCACACACCTACAATTGCTTCCATGGTATACACATGTTTTTGCGCAACCGTTTTTGGAAGTGTGTTGATGGCTCAGAACGTTGAGTGGTCTTGGCAACATTTGTGTTGCTCCGAGGACCTAGGTTCGAGCCCTAGCCGTGCTCGGCTGAAATTAATTTTTGTTATTTGAATTTTTGTGATCATTTTGAAAGTGATTTTAAGTGATTATTTATACTCTTTCGAGTCGAGCTTGATGATCTAAATTTTGCAATGAAAAGGAAAGCCAGGAGAAGAACCTACGTACCCACCATTATGCGACGCGTTTCGCCGTTGGTTAAGCGGCTCATCAGGCATATTGGGCTATGTGGCTTTACAAAGGTCGTACGTTGATAACTTGTATTTATTCCGCCCTGATGCGAAACTTGCATACGCGAATTAAATTCAAATTTGTCAAAGTTCGACATTTGTCTTCATTCTAGGAACAGTCCTTTTCAAAGCAGATTTTTGTTGTAGCGATGGATAATTAATCCACACAAAAATTCAAATAACAAAAATTAATTTCAGCCGAGCACGGCTAGGGCTCGAACCTAGGTCCTCGGAGCAACACAAATGTTGCCAAGACCACTCAACGTTCTGAGCCATCAACACACTTCCAAAAACGGTTGCGCAAAAACATGTGTATACCATGGAAGCAATTGTAGGTGTGTGGATCAGGGCGGAATACAAGTTATCAACGTACGACCTTTGTAAAGCCACATAGCCCAATATGCCTGATGAGCCGCTTAACCAACGGCGAAACGCGTCGCATAATGGTGGGTACGTAGGTTCTTCTCCTGGCTTTCCTTTTCATTGCAAAATTTAGATCATCAAGCTCGACTCGAAAGAGTATAAATAATCACTTAAAATCACTTTCAAAATGATCACAAAAATTCAAATAACAAAAATATTTTTTTGAGAAAATTCATCTAAATATTTAATAATACTGTATGTGCGGTAACTTTATTTGAAAGCTCTATCAAAACTTTGATCTTAACAGACAATTTTCTGTGAGAAAATGCGGCTGATGCCTTCAAAGTACCAGAAATTGGTGGATACCGTCGATTTGACATCCCATGAGAATCTGAAACATAAAATTAGATTCAATTCGTTTGAAACCCGTGACCGAAACCTCCAAAATAACGAATGACCAATATGTTGGAAAATTAAACCAATATTTCAAATTTTAGAAAGTGATATTCTACTCAATTCAAATCCACAATATAAAACCAGTAAAGAAAGTACTAAAGTCGGACTGGACCGACTATATGATACCATTCACCACTTTGGGTATATTCTACACATGTCTCCCAACAGACGTCGCTTTTTTGGATGAACGAACTTGAATATGTTATCTTTATGCCTATCTGGAACCTATGCTAAAACTCATTTCATTTGGGCAAGGTTAGAGTCGTTTGTGTACTATGGGATAAATTTATGTAAATTGATTTAGAGCAAACTTGATACACGCTCTTCGGTAGGCCGCAACATTTAATCTCAATCAGACACCCGTTTGAAATATATATGAAAGCTGTGTCTGCATCTGCACCACTTTCAACAAAACGCAATAATGTCATTCCAAATTTAGTGCAAATCGAAATATATATATATATATATATAGGGACTTTGGTGCAGCATTTACATTAAATCGGACGAAAATATATATATGGGAGCTATATCTAAATCTGAACCGATTTTCACGAAACTTGACACACATCATTCTAGACTTAATTCAGTACGCTATGACAAATTTCGTGCAAATCGAAAGATATATAGAGACTATGTTGCACCATTTACATTAAATCGGACGAAAATGTATATGGGAGCTATATCTAAATCTGAACCGATTTTCCCAATTTAAATAGGGTTCGTCCTTGGACTAGGACGACTTTCTACACAGTGAGAAATGTGCCACAGATGCTTCAATAATTATAATTGTTGGAATGAAGATTTATTGCTCATTGCAAATCGCAAATATTAAATTAAAACCAATTATACCGAATATTTGGGTACGGATGGACGGCCAGAATTATATTCTGATCAATAATATATCGCTTATTTGCTACAATACAGGCATAAATGAAAAATCTTGATTTTTGACATAGTGATGCTGAATTGTCCCTATATCAGACAAATATCTATTTCACACTCTGATTGAGAAGCTGTAAAATTTCCTCTGTTCCTTGTAAAGTGTGAGGCAAGTGAAAACTTAAAACGCATTTTCTACAAAGTCGATTTTTTATTGATGTCGGTCTTGCAGTAAATTAGCGACTTTTTCTAAGAACCAGAAATACGTCAAATTTGTTTATTGTTTAACTATGGCAGAATCACAATTTTTATACCCTCATCTTTATGGCTAATGAAGGTACATACACTTTGCTATGGCTAAAATATGCCTCATAGAAATATTAGTTTTAGACCCCATGTTTATTTGGAACAAATCAGTTTCGTCCCTCTGGTTGTCTGGTGCGCACGAATAATATCGAAGGAGAAACCGATTTCATCCAAACTTTGCACATCGTAGTATTTCTTCTAAACTAAACTAAACTTAAATCAAGTTCGCAGATGGGGAATATCGGTCCACTACTTTCAATTCCAGTCCCATACTCCGAAATGGACAACCGAGTATGTGTAGATAACTGTACCAGGCCATGTGTAGCCAACATATATGCAATATACAGATAAATGTATATTTAATTGTTTTCAATTTAGATACCTTACAGATAAATACTAAAACCACCATTTACAATGTCATTTTAAAAATAAATTACCAATCATTTAATTGTTTTTGTTTTTTTCTGTCTGATATTCCCTTTATTTAAATAATAACAACTCCTACCTAATTTGGTAATAAACAATTAACTACCTTTCGCATAATTCTACCTATACATTTGTAATACCATACCCAAAATACCCATCCACCCACTTCCCCCAAATCAATTACCTATTGTAAATACATTTAGTTGCTATTTTTACAAAACCACAAAATAAGTCTCATTTGGTTTCATTTCAATTTACACCGACATGTCGATATAAGTACTGCTGCTTAACTACACAAAACAACAAGTCGAAAAAATCGGTATTTTAAATTAAATTAAATAATGTTTAATGGAAATTTATTAATTATATGCCCAAATGAATTCCCAGCTAATGACATTATTCAAAATATTTTACGCACGTATTCGTTTTGTAGCAACTGGCCCGGCTATACCATATGCGGTAATGGTCACCACCGAGTCAAACCATTGGCCATTATAAAGATTGCAAAAGTAGCAACAAAATAGCAAATAAACAAAAACGACAACAGCAGCAAAAAACAACGTTAATTTCACAAACCAACCGCAACGCAACGAAATTCATCCCCGTACACACGAGGATGTTTATGTAAACATGAGCATAGATAGAATTCAATTACGATAACATGGTCAAATGACAACGTGTGCCACACACACACAGCATCATTGGTTATAACGCTGACCACCAAACGTTTACCGCAAAAACTGGAAAAACAGCATAGTTGCCAGCTGTTTGATAATTAGAGAGATGGCTTTAGTTTTGCATTAGATTTATTATAGACGAAATTAAATGGAGTTTTAATTAATTTATACACAATAGTAATAAATAATTATTGTGTTTAGTTTTTGTAGAAGAAATCCGTTCTCAGCCTACGTCCTTATAATGTTTATTATGCGAAGAAATCAGCATACACATAGAAAACTAAAGTCAAAACAATCTGAGGTCATAGTTTTTTTACAGAAAATAGATAACAAGTCCTAATTTTTCTACAGAAAAACAATCGCAGGACCACAGGTTCACTGGTCCCAGTTTTTTTCTATAGAAAAAAAATCACAGGCCCACAGGTCCCAGTTTTTTTCTATAGAAAAAAATTCACAGGTCCCAGTTTTTTTCTATAGAAAAAAATTCGCAGGACCACAGGTCCCAGTTTTTTTCTATAGAAAAAAATTCGCAGGACCACAGGTCCCAGTTTTTTTCTATAGAAAAAAATTCGCAGGACCACAGGTCCCAGTTTTTTTCTATAGAAAAAAATTCGCAGGACCACAGGTCCCAGTTTTTTTCTATAGAAAAAAATTCGCAGGACCACAGGTCCCAGTTTTTTTCTATAGAAAAAAATTCGCAGGACCACAGGTCCCAGTTTTTTTCTATAGAAAAAAATTCGCAGGACCACAGGTCCCAGTTTTTTTCTATAGAAAAAAATTCGCAGGACCACAGGTCCCAGTTTTTTTCTATAGAAAAAAATTCGCAGGACCACAGGTCCCAGTTTTTTTCTATAGAAAAAAATTCGCAGGTCCACAGGTCGCAGGACCACAGGTCCCAGCTTTTTTCTATAGAAAAAAATTCGCAGGACCACAGGTCCCAGTTTTTTTCTATAGAAAAAAATTCGCAGGACCACAGGTCCCAGTTTTTTTCTATAGAAAAAAATTCGCAGGACCACAGGTCCCAGTTTTTTTCTATAGAAAAAAATTCGCAGGACCACAGGTCCCAGTTTTTTTTTTCTATAGAAAAAAATTCGCAGGACCACAGGTCCCAGTTTTTTTCTATAGAAAAAAATTCGCAGGACCACAGGTCCCAGTTTTTTTCTATAGAAAAAAATTCGCAGGACCACAGGTCCCAGTTTATTTCGATAGAAAAAAATTCGCAGGACCACAGGTCCCAGTTTTTTTCTATAGAAAAAAATTCGCAGGACCACAGGTCCCAGTTTTTTTCTATAGAAAAAAATTCGCAGGACCACAGGTCCCAGTTTTTTTTCTATAGAAAAAAATTCGCAGGACCACAGGTCCCAGTTTTTTTCTATAGAAAAAAATTCGCAGGACCACAGGTCCCAGTTTTTTTCTATAGAAAAAAATTCGCGCAGGACCAGGACCACAGGTCCCAGTTTTTTTCTATAGAAAAAAATTCGCAGGACCACAGGTCCCAGTTTTTTTCTATAGGTCCCAATTTTTTTCTATAGAAAAAAATTCGCAGGACCACAGGTCCCAATTTTTTTTTTCTATAGAAAAAAATTCGCAGGACCACAGGTCCCAGTTTTTTTTCTATAGAAAAAAATTCGCAGGACCACAGGTCCCAGTTTTTTTTCTATAGAAAAAAATTCGCAGGACCACAGGTCCCAGTTTTTTTCTATAGAAAAAAATTCGCAGGACCACAGGTCCCAGTTTTTTTCTATAGAAAAAAATTCGCAGGACCACAGGTCCCAGTTTTTTTCTATAGAAAAAAATTCGCAGGACCACAGGTCCCAGTTTTTTTCTATAGAAAAAAATTCGCAGGACCACAGGTCCCAGTTTTTTTCTATAGAAAAAAATTCGCAGGACCACAGGTCCCAGTTTTTTTCTATAGAAAAAAATTCGCAGGACCACAGGTCCCAGTTTTTTTCTATAGAAAAAAATTCGCAGGACCACAGATCTAAGTTTTTTCTATAAAAGAGAAAAATTGGCAGGAACACAGGTCCAAGTTTTCGGTATAGAAAAAAATTCGAAGGACCACAGGTTCAAGTTTTTTCTATAGAAAAGAATTCGCCAGGACCACAGGTCTAAGTTTTTCCTATAGAAAATAAATTTGTAGGACCAAAGGTTGAAATTTTTTCTGTAAAAAATTGTAAGACCACAGGTCTAAAAAAATCGCTGGACCCTAAGTCAAAGTTTTTTCTATAGAAAAAAATTGCAAGACCACAGGTCCAAAGTTTTGCATTTTATAGAAGACCAAATCACAATTTCTCTCTCTGTGGCAACTCCCACATCATCATCAATGCGACAAAAAGTGGATTTGAAGAGTTGCAGTAGTTTTAGTTAGTTTGCGGTTAAAACCACAATAAATAATCAAGCAAACGACGGCGATGCGTTGTTGCACAATGGCGACCGGCATCACAAAGGACTACAAATGCAATGTCAGTGTGTAAAAGGACAACTTACCCAAAGGACGATGTTCAATGGAGAAATGATGAATTGGGCAACCGCCATTATTCCATGCTGACAATTTTAAATTAACGCACGATGCGTTCGTTGCAATTAGTTCGTTGCTGTTAGGAGCCTGGGATGCTGGGTATGAGACAAAATGGAAATACAGAATCGAATTAGTCCAGACTAATCACCATTTTTTTTTTCTCTATGGTACAGTAACAACATCAAAAAGTCTAGTTAAAATAACTAAATTATTTCGTTTTCACAAGAAATGGAAATATACTCAGTCATCTGCGATATCTGCTTACCTTTACCCTTGGTCCACACATTAATTTCCTCACTGGCCGCACCATCCCCCACAATATTATGGGCTGACATTTTGATGATATACTGATTGCCACATTTCAATCCCGTTATAGTGTAGGCATTATTCTCCGGCATCAATTCGATTTGGGACCATGTCTCGCCCATAATACGATACGAAATTGCATAGCCCTGCAATGGAGCACCACCATCATCCGGTGGATCCCAACTAACACGTATACTATCCGCCGAGGCATACTGGACAATGATTTGTGGTGAGGCCGGTGGTTTCATGGCAATCACTTGGTATTGTATTTCATCACTGCCAAAAAGATTGTTTGCTGTACATGTGTAATTTCCGGACAGACTGCCCTCAACTCCTGCCAAGTGTCAGCAAAAAAAGACAGGACGAAGCATCGAAACAAAGAGAATGTGAAGTCAAATGTCATCGTGGGTGTAGGTAGACCGCACACAGACCAAGAAGATACACAGAATTGAGTATTAGAAAATAAATAAAAATTGTTCAGGTAAAACAGAATCAATATTAGTTTTAAATATATGTATGGCAATAGAGAGAGAGAGAGAGTGTAACAAAGGATACGACAAGGAGAAACAAAATCAAAATATTTTAATTAACTTTCTTGTTTTGTTTGCATTTTTTTGTTGCCACACTCCCTCCCACACAGACCATTTTATTGAATATTGTTGGTTTTCTTTTTTTGTACCGGATAAAAACTTACGATGTATTTTTAGATTTCCTTCATTTGTCACTTCATAGAATGGACTAAAGGTTACGGGTCGGTCACGTGTTAGCCATCTTGCTCGGGGAGTTGGATTACCCACAGCTAGACATTCCAATATCAGACTTGTCCCAACTGCCTTTCGTACAATCTGACCGAATGAGGCTATTCTTGCTGGGGCTGAAAGGAAATGAATTTGTTTGATTATAAATTAGAAATTGAGATTTATTAGAATTATATTATTCAAAAAAAGTAAAACAAGTTAAAATATGTCAGTCGGTGTTGCCCTCAACCTATGGTTAGTAGAGTTCTATGGAATTACAGTCTAGTGTCGAAGTGAAAGTTTTTTTATTACATTTGTGACTATAAAAATTGTCATAATATTTGGGGAGGTTCTATAACCGATAATTGCATTAAATCTTTATTTAGACCACAGGATTTCCTGTTCTCTTTATGGAAGGTGTACGTTTTTATCAACAAGTTGTCCTATATACCCCATCTTCGGATTTAATGTAGATTTGGTAAAGTATTACGATGTGCAACCTATGGATTAAATCGGATATCCAGTAGATTCAATTCAAATTTAAAATTGGACCCTTTGTGATGAGTTCACCAGAAAAAGTGCGTCTTTGGACTTGACCTAGGTTAAGTAAATTAAATTACTACGGTTTGTAAAGTTTTGGTCATATTGGATACTCAATTTGCTTCATATAATTTGATAAACAAGTTTTCAAAGTCTTAACATTTTGTGGGGGAGATAAAAGAAGAAGTGAACCGATGGATCCCAATCTTGGAATAGATCTTGACTTGGTAAAATATGACGATATGCAACATTTAGATGAAATCGGGTACTTCATTCCTTTTGTATGTGGTTTACACATTTTTTGTTGAGAATAAATCGATAGACCCCACCTTCGAGATGGGATATGATAAAACATACTAGGTTCTGCAAAGTTTAGGTCGTAGCAAATGATTTGTTCACATGATATTATTTATTTTTTCAGAACAATTTTGAACATTTTTGAGGGATGTGCTAGAAAGACTTGGCGTAAATTCAATGTTGATTTAAGTTTAAAAAAAATTACGGTATACAAAATTTTGATTAAATAGGGCACTCCATTCCTTTCAATTTGATTTACAAATTTTCTAAATTTGCACGTTATGTAGTACTGGAATGTGTACACCGATAGACCATCTCCGGGATGATGGCATGGTACACATATTATGTTATTCAAAGTTTATCTCAAATTGGATACTTTTTTCAAATGATATTTTAAATGTATGTTTCAGTAAATGTTGAGAATTTGTTTAAGGTAGGAATCACAAGGAGTGGTCCTCCTTCAAATTGTTCTATGTTTGTGAGGAAATATTACGTTCTTGAGAGTTTGGTTCAAATTACCTAATACTTTGGGAAGGTTATGTGCGCACCAGTCAGTTTCGTGGATGTTAATTGGAATGAGGGGTTCTTTACCCCACCACATGTCCAATAGTCAGACACTTAAGCCTGTGAGTATAAATAAGCATTGTGCTCACTGTAGAAAGAAGAAATCATATTTAGATTTGGTTTCCATAATCTTCTACGAACTCTGTTTTCTTTGTGAAGTCCTTCAGTTTTTTCCATTCCATTTCCAAAGAATCGGGTTCAGATGCTTGTAAAGGCACAGATAGTTGCACAGGAAAGTTTCAAATGTCTCATTGTCGCATACGATATTGTGTAAGTGGGCCTGCAGGCTATTATGTCCTGTGAGAATATATGCCAGTCCGGTTTAGCATTAATATTTGCTTTGTCTTATCCTCATTTGGGTCTCCTCATAAAATTGATGTGTTTTTCCTAGACCCCTCAATTTTTGTGGGTTTCCGTTGCCCATGACCACAGTTCTAGACGTGGTGCACTAAAAGGTTTGGCATTATTTACATCTATTGTAGGTCGGTCGCTTGACTGTCGAATATATTTGTTATTTCGTTTCATATTATTCCTATGGACTTGGTATGCATATGATTCCTATGAACTCGACATATGATTCGTCTGAGACCGTGTTGCAAGAACTTATTCATGATTCTTATACATTTTAATACAGTTTTGGATTTAATTGTTTTAGAGGTTATTGTTTTTGTGGTTTGTTTACTATCTGCCAATAAATATTTTTATATCCTGACCAGAGTGTGAAGATTCGGTTTATGGTTATTTAATAAAAAGTTCCAGACCCGAAGTTCCTGCTAGCCGGAAGAAATCTGTGTAGCAACATTTACCAGGGGACATGTTTGCTAGTGTTCGGGTATGCGATTGTAGCCTGTACTATATTTTCGTGCGGTCTATATTTCATTTTCAACAGGGTTTTTTCCAAATTTTTATATTAAAATAGATTTTTTATATAAATGAGCAAATGTTCATTTTATAATCGACCATAAAACTGTTTTACGCCATTTACACAAAGCTGGATTCTAAAAGAAGTTCGATGTTTGGGTGTCACACCACTTAACAGAAAATAATAGGATGGATCAAATTTTCATCTGCGAAGCCTTGGCCAAACGGAATGAGATGGAGATAGATTCTTAAACGGATGGTTACTGGAGATGAGAAATGGATCACATACGGTAACCCATCCGAAAACGATCGTGATCGAATAGCGGTGAAGCACCTCAAACGGTGGCCAAGCCAGAACTAACGGTCAGGAAGGTTCTGCCATACATTTGGTGGGACTAGAAGGGGATTATTTATTATGAGTTACTTCCATATGACCAAACGCTAAATTCTGATCTCAACTGTCAACAACTGAACCGTTTGAAGGTAGCAATTGACCAGAAACGGCCAGTATTGGAGAGGTGTCGTGTTTCATTTGGACAACGCTAGACCACACACATCTACAGTAACTCGCCAGAAACTTCGGGAGCTTGGTTGGGAAGTTCTTGCATTGCAAAATTTCTTTAATGACAATTTGTATCTAGAGAGGATTGTGAAAATCCACTACTAGAGTTTTATGCAAATAGAGACCAGGGAAATGACCACAAATCATACAACAAAACGATGCATATTTGGCCCAAATCAGATATTCCGAAGCATGTTAGTTCATATAAAAATAACACTGTGCAGCACTAAAATCTTGAACCAATCGAGACCCCCAAAATCTTGAAGCTTGTGATGGTGGAAGCTGGGTTTATCATTATTAGCTAAGGTTTTTTTTTTTAAATTAATTTTTAAAATTAGCACAATTTTCAAATAATACGTACTCTATATCTCGTGAACTATTTGAAATATTGCTTTTCTCTCAGCAATATTTTTCCTCTTAATTAGATCTAAAAATGTTCTCTTGATATAAAATCAATGAAACAACACCATCATACTGAAAATAGCACAACTGCAAAAAAATTAAAATTTCGACATACTTTTTCCATGTTTAATTTTTACTTCAATTTTGTACCTATTTATTGAAAAAAGCATAGCAATTTTTATTTCTATAAACATACAATTGGGAGTGAATTTCTTTGGTTCATCTTGATGAATTTGTGAGGCTATAACTATGTGAAGGAGTCAACCAATGAAATCGGGGTTTTAAGAAAAGTTGTTTGATTTGCTATTGGCTATCTTCTTGTCATATACTGTTTGGCCGAGTCAGTAGCAGTTTCTGAAAAAAGTGTGAAAAACATGGAAAAAGTATGTCTAAATTTTAATTTTTTGCAGTTGTGCTATTTTCAGTATGATGGTGTTGTTTTATTGGTTTTATCTCAAGAGAAAATTTTTAGATCTAATTAAGAGGAAAAATATTGCTTAAGAGAGAAAAGCAATATTTCGAATAGTTCACGAGATATAGACTCAATAATAAGTACGTATTATTCAAAAATTGTGCTAAAATCCGCCCCCAGTCGAATATTTTAAAAATGAATTTAAAAAAAACCTTAGCTAATAATGCAAAACCCAGCTAGGGATTTTCTTCCACCATCACAAGCTTCAAGATTTTGGAGGTCTCGATTGGTTCAAGATTTTAAAGTTGAAAAATGTGTCACTGTGTAATCGATTTATTTTTCCCCAACCTAATATTAAAAAACTATATGGTCATTAAAAGCACGCTACAGGACCATATCCTCTTCCTGAAATTTTACATAGCCACATTCCAAAGTACCTGTCCGATATCACCGAGAATTCTTTATATAAAATATTGAATCGATGTTGAGATTTGCGCAAAAGAAGAAGTCGCCAGGGTTAAGTCACAAAATCTCAATAACGTGAGTGAAAATATCACCCGCAATTTTTCTCCGTTAAAGAGTAACACGTTTACTCTTTACTCGTGTGTGGCTTGGAGTGCTGTCTTCCTGAAGTTTGTTTTTTTTTTCAGATCTAGCTCTCTCGAACGCAATACCTTCCTATTAAGAATTCTTTCATACGTTGAGCTACATCAGCAAAATTATCAATTGTTTTTGGGCATATTGTTCTGGTTTGTGAGACAAAATCGAGGTAATGGTCGGGGGATGGACAATTCAGATGAAGGAAAAATTCGCTGTAGCTCAAAGTTCTGAGATATGGTGTGATCATTTTTTGCTGGCGACCCTATTATACATGAAGAGATTACTTCATATCTTCATTTTAAGCTATTGTATGTATTTTTGAGGTTACATTTCCGCAGTAAAAACGAATTAGGAATCTTTTTGTAGAACATTTTGCCTTCTAACTCGATTTTTTGTATGTACTTTGAAACGGAATCTAATTACCACATGATGCGATTTTTCATTCTAGCAATACACTACAAAAATGTTGCTCACAAAATTTCAGATAGGATCCTCAGCGACAAAAAAATCGATATTACAACAGCTTTTGTCAATATACCCGTGTCATGTCACTAAAACCGTATTTGTATGTATTTAAATGTATTCTATATATTTTTTTATTATTTAGCAATAGGGATTTCCCAGACCCAAAATCTATCGCTGATTGTGCGTGTGATTTTGGTCGAAGACCTAGCCCTCGCTGACTTTTTCTTCCTCCCTAAACTGAAAAATACGATGCAGGAGCTGTTTGCTATAGCAAAAAGCGTGTTGATTAAGTAAAACCGTCATTATGTTCGACCGGGACGAACTTTTCATGCATAACTGGTGTAGGAACATCAACATACCTAAAATTAAACGGGACGTTTGTATGGTGCTATTTTAAAACATTACCCTATATTGAATAAACTCTGGAAATGACAAATTTAATGCTAACTAATTTAAATAAAGACTCCTATTGTTTTTGGTAATGATCGGTTAAAAGATGAAATGGACCAAATTCTTTATTTTTTCTGTTCAAAGGAACCAAGGAACAAGCATAATTCTTTACTGATAATCGGTCAATATTTAGCGGTTCAAATGGACCCAGACTTTTGTGTGACAAATGACAATTTTTTCATTCTATGGCCCATCGAGTTACTACTGAAGGTCATAGACCCGATACGTTAATGATATCCAAGAGAAGTTGTTAACCTTTAAATCGATACTAATTCTAGTGATGTATCTTCTCGGATGTGGGAATTATATTTGAATATTTACAGGCGCCTACGTATTCTGATATTCACCCCTATTCCGTAAGTCGTCGTCGTTGTCGACGACGTTTCTTTGTCGACATAACTTCGCATCAACATCGACATCATTTCGACATTTATTTTTCTATTCTGTAACACTCATGCGACGATGGCGACTATTTATCGATAATATCAATAAAACAAAAAACACATCTCTAAAATTGAAGTCAGCTGTTAATTTTGTTTGATATTTTTGTGCAAAAATGTGTTTGTATCCTTCACCACACTGTGGCACAGGGCATTATGTCTTGGTACATGTACTTGCAACATCCAACCCATAGTTACTTTTTAGTATATACATCGAATTACTTTTTGAGTCCATTTATGCATGTCCCTCCGTCCATATATTATTTTAAAAACGTTACAGTTCACCGTTATGATCCGAATGGGACGAAACTTTTTTTTTGCACAAGACGAGCCCAATTCATAATGGCCAGATTTATATACATATCCCACCATATATTTTTATTTACACGAAATTTTCCAAAATTTATTGAATAGAGTCGAGGATGACGTATCCTCTTCTTGACCGGACATATTTTTTTTTTAATTTCTTAAAAAAATTTTGTTCAAACACTTCATTCGTCAACAAAAATAATGACGAAGAATCTTCGACATCGTCGTCGTCAAACTTTGTTACAGAATACCAAAAATATGTCAATAGTTATCGATAAATGGCGACAACGACATAGGGAATACCAATTTGCATCGATTATTTTGTAACCCACTGCGACACTAGAGTGTGGAAATGTAGCGCTGATCGGTATGAAATTTTACATAAAGTTCCGGTTGAGGTCAATGTAGTGATCTGATGATATATAGGATGAAATGTACTGTAATTTTTTATCAGGTCTTTCAAGAGGACATTATTATAAGCCGAACATCAAATCCACTGACTGTTTTCATAATGATCGGTTAATATTTAGGAGGTAAAATGAGCCAAGACATTTATGTGTACAATAATTTACAACTTATAATTTAAAGTTCAGGGTAAGAAAGATGTTGTTTGTTGATTTTATAGAGAGTGTAAATATCCTAAATATCGTATCAATTTGTTTGATATATGCCTGTCCTGCAGCAAATGAGCGATGTAATAACTTACAAACTAAATATTTCTAGAAACGTTAAAATTTGATATGTATGTATTTGGTATCGTTAATTAAATATAAATCGCCTATATCAACCGAAATGACCACAGTAACAACATTTGCTATCATGTAACAGTAATTATGTTTATCCCATTTCAATTATCGTATCCTTTCATACCTAGAATTTATTTAAAAATCACAATTTATTCCGTATGCAAAAACATTGTCGAATTGTTTTAAGGTATCATCGATGTTACTCATCTATTTGTTCTGCAACGATATAACCCACACACCATTGAAGTGCACCAAAAACCAAATAAACATTGGTAATTGTGTAAACAGAACTACAATTCATGGTTGAAACTGTGGTTTTATATCAAAAAAAAAAAAAAAAAAAAAAAAAAAAATGGTACACAATCCGCGTACTTACACAAATGTCATCATACATTTGCATATACAATGACATATCGCAGAATATATGTATGTGCTAACATACATTTATATGTATATATTTATCTGACTGTCGGTGTGGCTGTATGTGTGTGTTTAAGCGTCTGTATTTAACAATAATAAATACCTATAAAATCAAATCGAATTTCAATTTTCAACTTACCACGTGTGTTTGTGGCCTGTGCCACCACAGATGTTGGCTCACCCTCACCGACCGATGTTGAGGCCGATACCCAAAATTCGTACATTTGATTCTCAGCCAAGCTGCGTGCTTCATGTGTAACCGGATAGCCGGATTCATCGACACGCACCATGTGAGCTAAAATAAATAAAATAGAAATGCAAAAAATTTATTAAATATATGAAAAAAAACAAAAACTTTAAATCCGATTTTATAATAGAATAATCATGACTAAATCGATTATTTAGTTTGTTTATATTTGATAAAAAATTGTCGCTATTTTAAATATCTTTGAACTATAACATAATGCTAATTACAAAGTAAATTTACGCTTTCATATGACCACACTTTCGTAGAGATGCGATCATCTATTCATCAGTTATACGCTTTAAAAGTAGGGCTTGAATGTGCCTGATTTGAAACAAGTTGCCCGAAAGATGGCGCTGACGAATTTCTATGAATGTTGTGTCATATGAAAATATTAATATGAAATTCAGGTTTAAAAATTAGTATTCAAATTCTCCACAACAATAATTAATTTTTTAATGATCATTATTTTCATATGGGACCGATTTTGTAGAGATGCGATTATATCATCAGATGGTATACTCTTAATGAACAAGGTTTGAACCATTGATACATTTTCGTAAAGAGAGATATTGGACTTAAAAAACAGATTTGAATCATGCCCATCAATAGATGGAGCTGAGGAAGACGTAAAAATATTGCATATATAATTTATTATTGCTTTTTTGGGTTTAGTTAAATATTAATATGAAATTGGAGTTTAAAATTAGATTTATAAAGTATGGAATATTACATTGAGTGGGAAGTACCAAAAGGAGTGGACCGATGGGTGCCATCTTCGAACATGATTTTCTTTTGAAAAAAATATTACAATTTGCGTGCTTTGTATCATATTGAACATTCCATACCATTGTTTTTGGATTAAAAAATGTTCAACATTTTGACCACTTTATGAAGGAGGTGCTAGAAGGAACGCACCGATAAGTCCCATTTTCCAACAATATAAAAATGTTAATATATTAGGAAACGAGATAGGCACATGGTTCCTTTTGAGAATATGTATAGAATCACTTTCGGAGTCGATTTACGCATGTTCGTCTGTCCATCCATGTACTTTTGTGAACAATGTACAGGTCGTATTTATGATCCGATTTGGTTGAAATTTGGCATAGGTCACTTATTTGGTCCAAGGACAAATCCTACTGAAATTGGGAAAAATTGGTTCAGATTTAGATATTGCTCCCATATATATTTTCGTCCGATATAATGTAAATGGTGCACCAAAGTCCCTATATATCTTTCGATTTGCACGAAATTTGGCACAAATTAATAAATTAGGTCTAAAATGATGTGTGCTAAGTTTCCAGAAAATCGGTTCAGATTTAGATATAGCTCCCATATATATATTTGCCCGATTTAATGTAAATGGTGCACCAAAGTCACTATATATATTTCGATTTGCACGAAATTTGACACAGAGTAATAAATTAGGTCTAAAATGATGTGTGTTAAGTTTCTTGAAAATCGGTTCAGATTTAGATATAGCTCCTATATATATTTTCGTCCGATTTCATGTAAATGGTGCACGAAAGTCTATATATATCTTTCGATTTGCCCGAAATGTGGAACAGCGTAATGAATTAGGTATAGAATGATGTGTGTTAAGTTTCCTGAAGATCGGTTCAGATTTAGATATATTTTCTACATATGTTTTCGTCCGATTTAATGTAAATTGTGCAACAAAGTCCCTATATATCTTTCGATTTGCACGAAATTTGGCACAGCGTAATGAATTAGACCTAGAATGATGTGTGTTGAGTTTCCTGAAAATCGGTTCAAATTTGGATATAGCTCCCATATATATTTTCGCCCGATTTAATGTAAATGGTGCACCAAAGTCCCTATATATCTTTCGATTTGCCCGAAATGTGGCACAGCGTAATGAAGTAGACCCAGAATGATGTGTGTTAAGTTTCCTGAAAATCGGTTCAGATTTATATATATTTTCCATATATGTATTTTCGCCCGATTTAATGTAAATGGTGCACCAAAGTCCCCATATTTCTTTCAATTTGTACGAATCTACTAATTTTACAAGTTTTGCAACTTTTTACTCGAAAACCATTCCTGAACCTACAAAATTGGTAAACCATTGAATCAAATTTAAGAGAACAAAAAAAAATGGCTTCCTCCTTGTAATAGCTTCCTCTAAAAATTTGTCCGAGTAAAAATGGCAAACAAGAATCCCAACTTCTGAGTGGCTGTTATGTTGATTTCGAAGTATTGTCATCTAATTTTGGCATATTTACTAGATTTGCGTTCCCGAATTTTTCACATTATTTTGTACTGAGAGAGGTTTTGAAATGTTTGCCTTTTTTTAGCTTTACTATTGAAAAATAAATGGAACAGACAATAATTTTATAGTAAATTTTAAATATTATATTTGTTTAAATATTTCCTTTGTTTGCATTGTGTTTAATAATATTATTTCTGTTTATTCTCTTTGCAGGATTTCATTCACATTTTACGGGTAAACTGACGCAATTATTGTTAATATATTATTATAATTTAATTGATTTTTATTTGTATATTGGCATTGTAAAAGCTTAAATTGAAAAAAAGAATATATATTATATATGTAATTTAAATAAAATAAAAATATCAAATAAATTGCAATTCGTTTTATTCTAATAGTACACGATTTACTATTGCGCCTAAAATTATGCTCTAAATGATTATTTAGTTAATTTATGAACCAATAATTACAATAGTTGGCAACACTGGCAAAAATGCGTTAATAGCGCCATCTATTGAATCACTACATCGCAATGGGACAAATCACTTTTTCAACCACCAATTTTAGACTGAAAATCGTTAAAAATGACAGATCGTTAAAAATTATAAAATCTTAAAAAATCGATGTCACATAAAAGAAAAAATATGTTTTAATATTGTTAATATGTATCTTGAAATTTTCTGAAGAGGATTTTAGCGGAAAGAAACGGGTTTGTGTGCAAAGCAAAGGTTAAGTAAACATTGAGAAGGTCCATGAAAATATATTAATATCGTTTTTTACCCTTAATGGCCTTAAATCTTATGAACGAAGTTTTTGTATAATATTCGGAGGACAAAAAATTCAACTGAAGTCAAATTATTACTTAAGTTGAATTTTTTGTTCTGGGTTTTTGATATAACCGCCAAGGGCTTTCGCACTATATAGAATTTCTATCCTCCAAAATCGTGTTGCAGAGTGTAATATTTGTAGTAATTACCTATATGGTAAATTGGCGATATTTTTTATCATATGGCTCATTTCAACAAATATTTCGTAGAACAAATTATGCGTTCGATATGAATTGTGAGATGTTGTACAAATTAAATATAATATCCTTGGCAAAATTGTGACGCAAGACAATCCGGCATAATTAGATATACATGTAATCATACCCTCCTTCCTTTAGATATCTTAAAAGGAATGAAATTTGGAATTATTCATCTGCTAGTTGGGGTGTCAAAATTGGCAATTTTTGCTGAATTTTTTCGTTCAAAAAATGGTTTTGCGCTATTAACGCGTTATTGCCCGTGTTGCCAACTATTTCAGAAAATACGAATTAAAGCATACTTTCAGGCGCAAATTAAATGTAATAAAATAATAAATGAAACACATGTGGATTCAAAATAATAGTTATGTCTTTATTTAAAAAAAATATGAATTTTTACATTAATTGAAAATTAACAATAAAATAAAAATAAGTAGTAAAAAACCTATGAGTATATATATTTAAATAAATACAAATACATAATATTGATATTTGTTAACCTTTTTAAAGGTACATTACCTTATTATCCTTTCCTGAGCAAAATTAACGAATCCTTTTTCATATGCACCGTCAATAAATAAATTCTTATAGCCTCTGAGGCTATTTATGAATGGTACTTCCAATATTAAAACCAGTAAAGAAAGGAGTAAAGTCGGACGGGGCCGACTATATGATACCCTTCACCACTTTGGGTATATTCAACAGATGAATCCTAACAGACGTCGCATTTTTAAAGGACCAGTAAAATGAAATTGGATCCATAAACATGCCATTCTGCAACTGGTACTAAATTTTTCATTTGGTCAGATATAGATATATCTACATCTGAACCGATTTTCAGGAAACTTAACACACATCATTCCACACCGAATTCATTACGCTGTGCCAAATTTCGTGCAAATCGAAAGGTATATAGAGACTTTGGTGGACAATTTATATTAAATCGGACGAAAATAAATATGGGAGCTATATCTAAATTTGAAATATATATAAGGACTTTGGTGCACCATTTACATAAAATCGGACGAAAATATATATGGGAGCTATATTTAAATCTGAACCGATTTTCAGGAAACTTAACACACATCATTCTATACCTAATTCATTACGCTGTGCCACATTTCGGGCACCATTTACATTAAATCGGACGAAACTATATATGGGAGCTTTATATAAATCTGAAGCGATTTTCAGGAAACTTAGCACACATCATTCTAGACCTAATTCATGACGCTGTGCCAAATTTCGTGCAAATCGAAAGATATATAGGGGCTTTGGTGCACCATTTACATTAAATCGGACGAAAATATATATTGGAGCTATATCTAAATCTGAACCGATTTTGAGGAAACTTAAAACACATCATTCCAGACCGAGTTCATTACGCTGTGCCAAATTTCGTGCAAACCGAAAGATATATAAAGGGACTTTGGTTCTCCATTTACCATAAATCGGACGTAAATATAGATTGGAGCTATATCTAAATGTGAACCGAATTTTCAGGAAACTTAACACACATCATTCTAGACCTAATTCATGACGATGTGCCAAATTTCGTGCAAATCGAAATATATATAGGGACTTTGGTGCATTAAATCGGACGAAAATAAATATGGGAGCTATATCTAAATCTGAACCGATATATAGAAAACTTAACACACATCATTCTAGACCTAATTCATTACGCTGTGCCAAATTTCGTGCAAATTGAAAGATATATGAGACTTTGGTGGACCATTATTATTTAATCGGCCGAAAATATATATGGGAGCTATATCTAAACCTGAACCGATTTTCAGGAAACTTAACATACACATTCTACATTCTATACCTAATTCATTACGCTGTGACAAACTTCGCGAAAATCGAAAGATATATAGGGACTTTGATGCAACATTTACCATAAATCGGACGTAAATATATGTTGGAGCTATATCTAAATCTGAACCGATTTTCAGGAAACTTAACACACATCATTCTGGACCTAATTTATTACGCTGTGGCAAATTTCGTGCAAATCGAAAGATATATAGGGTCTTTGGTACACCATTTACATTAAATCGGAGGAAAATATATATTGGAGCTATATCTAAATCTGAACCGTTTTTCTTCCATTTCAATAGGGTTCGTCCTTGGGCCAAATAAGTGACTTGTGCCAAATTTCATTTAAATCGGATCATAAATGCGACCTGTACTTTGTTTACAATTTAACATCTACAGACGGACGGACTGACGGATATGCATAAATCGACTCAGAAAGTGATTCTATGCATATTCTCAAAGTGAACCATGTGTATATCTCGTTTCCTTTTGCCTGTTACAAACATATGCACAAAGACATAATACCCGGTACCACAGTGTGGTGAAGGGTATAAAAATCTATACCTTGGATTGCTTCAAAAAAAATCTAAGATTTTTATATTTTTTAATATTTGCCATGAAATACCATCACCTTTATTTAAAAAAAAAATCGACTGACCGCGTAAATTATTGTCCTCTTATCCTTCAATTTCAAATCAAATCTGCCAAAAACTGTTGCATGCTCAGAATCTAATCAACACTACATTGTGTAAAATTTTCTCATTAATTAATTCATTTTTCGTAAAAGCAAAAAAAAAACACCAACACACACATAAGCGAAAGTTTTCTTTTCAGTTCCACAAGACATTGGTAATTAAGATCTCCATTCAATTATGTGATAATTACACCGACAAATTATTAACCCTCTCCACCCCGGTTCTTTTCTGGCAGGGTGAGAAAGGGGGAGAAAATACACGAGTGAAGAAAAAACCTTTGCAAACTTTGTCCATTCTTCTTCTTCCTTTTTCCGAGTTCATACCAAAGGGGCATTAAATTGAAATTAAATGCCAAAACTTTTACATTTCAAATCTACAATCAGCCAGACAACCAACGAGCCAGCCAGCTAGCCAGCGAATATAAAAAAGTTCAGCTAATAATAGTAAATACAAAATCATTCATGAAAAGCATGATTCCTTTTCTCAATTCCAGGAATAGAATAAAACAAAAAAAGTCTGGTGGAAAATAGCCAGCTTCCATTGTGCGTATTAAAAATCTCTGAAGTTCGTGGTATACGTATTCTACGTTAAGGCAAGTTTCCGGATATTACTGCACCTTTCATGACGTTCAATGATAAGTTGGGCTAAACTTTTCCTATCACCATGATTTTGTTCTCTGGTTTCCCTTTTTTCTTATATGAGCCAAAATTGAGAAAAAAAAAACTTTTATTTCAGCTTCAGAAATTCCTTGCTTCGTTTTTTTTTTCAAAATATATCTTTTCTAAAGGTTTTTTTTTTTTGTGACTTAGAGTATTGGCCATCAGCATCATCATTGGACATTGGAAGTAAAACCTAACTAGGAAATGAAAACTGCAATGATGATGACGATGATGGTGTCGTGGGATCATACTTACATTTTGCTGGTCCTTTACGTCCGGCTTCCCTTGAATAGACTGTATAATGGGTTATTATGCCATTGCGATTTCTCGGTGGCAGCCATGAAATCAAAATGGAATCTGCTGTTAGTGCTGCTGCCTTAATGGCAGCCGGTGCATCTGGTACATCATCCTCCGTTTGGCAATATAACGGCTGACTGGCTACGCCATCACCAGTGGCCGTGTATGCCAGCACCCGCAACGAGTAATTGGTCGCCTTGTGTAGTGTGTGCAGATAGGTTTCCAAATTCGATGTACGTTTTATTTCTAGTTTTGCCGGAAAATCAACTGTAGTTCCCCGTGGTATAGAGACAGATGGAAGCATGTGACGAGAAAGAGAAATAAGAAAGAAGAAGAGACAAATTGAAATGAAAATTGAGTTATTTTTGTTAAAGTACTTGACAAAAGTTCCAAACTTTGTGAATTTGGGTGGAGGAAATGTATTTATTGCCAACAACCACTAGATATTTCTGTTAAGAAATAAATTTTATTGAATTTAGAAAAAAATGAGCACAGCCTTTAAACTACTTTGAACATACAAACACAGTTAAATTACTAATTTGAAATCTCACTTAAATTATTAACATTACAAATGGCTATTATTATGTCATCATAATAATTACATAAGAACGCCCTTTTTTAAAAATCTGATTGCTCTCATATTCATTGAAGTGGTTTTAATATTTTTTTAATATAAATCATATTTCCGCGCCAAATTCCATTTCCTAATTTATAAAAATAACATAACAACATTGTACAACAAAATACAAAAAAATAAACAAAAAAAAAAAAAAAAAACTATTTACATATGTTTCAAATGCTTCGAACACTGGTATTTTTCTTTTTTTTGTAGCCATAGAATCACGACTTTTCTAAAATAAACAAACCAATTTTGTATTTTTTTCCATCTCCACAAAACATTATTTGACCTAAACTAACAAAAACAAAATAAATGAATGGACAAAAAGTGCACACATTTTAAACATGAACGAGTTGTTGCCCATAAAACTGCATACCGCAAAATTTTTAAACCACAAATCCATACAGCAAACACAAAACGATATCAAATATGAAAACGAATCGTGGGAAACCATAGACAATACAAAAGGATCAATCAAACGAAAAGATAGTTGAATGTGTTAGCAAGTATGTGTGTATGTAATATAAATGTATGCACATCGCAGCAAATAGAATTTCAAATGTCCAAAAATATCAAGTGAAATACTAATGATAGAAATTCATGGAATATGTTGAATACATGCATTTATTTTTGAGGATTTTCTGAGGAAATTTTTCTGCATATAAATTTTGTTCAGGAATATCAAATTGACATTGATTGGTTATATTTCTGGGATGATAATGAAGTAAATTATAAGGAGGAGAGTAACATATGACATTCATGGAAGAATACATTATATAATACTCTACATACACATAAGCACTATTTTCCGAAATCCCTTTCTTATTTCCATTACACAGATTAAAAATAGATCAGAATTGTTATTTAAATTTTGCTTTGTAAGGGCAGTGATCATTTGGAAGTAATTTTTAAGTGAGTTATTTATACTCTTTCGAGGCGAACTTAATGGTCTGAGTATTGTAATGAAAAGGAAAACCATTATGCGACGCGTTTCGCCGTTGGTTAAGCGGCTCATCGGGCATATTGGGCTATGTGGCTTTACGAAGATCGTATGTTGACAGCTTCTATTTATTTCGCCCTGATGCGAAACTTGCATATGCGAATTAAGTTCAAATTTGTTAAGGTTCGTTATGTTAGGTTTCCACTTCTCTCCTATGTCAAAAACTAAATTTAGTGCATTTGCTATTCTATTTACTACATAAATTCGAGTTTCCAAAGTTATCTCCAAAGCTCAATAATACACTTCAGTAGTAATCTAAATTCCAAATCTCAAGATTCAACCAAATTCAAATTGTTCCAAATTTAGCGCCATTTAGTAATTTTTATACTAATATATAAGAATTTCTAGAACTACATCAATCCTACACTCTAACAGTAATCTTAATTCCACCAAAGTCCAAATTGTACCAAATTCAGTATTTTTCGTACTCATAAGTAAAAATTTCCAAATATACCTCAATCCTGCTTTCATATAGTAAACGTAAGTGTAAATTTCAGAATTCCAGCTTTACCCGTTCGCCAACATCCAAATTGTAGCAAAGTTAGTACCATTTATTAAGTTTCGTAGACGTAAATACGAGTTTCTAAAACTTCCTCAATTCCACACTCCAACAGTAATTTTAATCACAAATTTCAGGATCACAGCCCTATCCGATCACATAGATCCAAATTGTACCATATTTAGTACTTTTCGTACTTATGAGTTCAAATTTCCAACACCGTCTCAATCCTGTATAGGAGGTGATGCAAATGTGGTATACCCATTTGTTTTTAGATTGCCAAATTTTTATATTTTATTCGATTAAATTGAAATTTTACACTTAACATGCTACATGTGTTGTCTTTCCGTGTATCAATTTGAAAATAATATTATTCTAACAATTTAAGAGATATTTGAGAAAATATTTGAAATTCCATTAAAAGTGATTTTAAAAAAAGTGAAGGTAATGTGGTATACCACATGATGTTAATGTGGTGTAGCATAATTTTCACTTCCAATTGATATCTTATATAATTTATTGTTTTTAATGAATGTGAATTAGCTCGAGATTTAAGTCTGTTAAGATTTTTAACGGATACGTTGAGTGGAACATTAATTTTTATTGTATAATAATGTCTACACATGGCAATATTTAATTTTCGTACGGAGAAGTAGTTTAAATCCCATGTCCTTTGTTTTCCTTCCTTATGATGCATGGTAGGCTCTCGTAGAGGACAAATGTTTCAAATAGTAATGAAATTTTGTCGTACGGAGAAGTAGTTTAAATCCCATGTCCTTTGTTTTCCTTCCTTATGATGCATGGTAGGCTCTCGTAGAGGACAAATGTTTCAAATAGTAATGAAATTTTGTCTTGTGCTGGCTTTTTTTCATACAGACTCAAGGTATACCACATTACCTGCACTTGTGTTCCCTGAAAAATTGTCTAGTTTTTTTCCTAAATTGGTAAATATGTGGTGCAATCACACATATTATTTGATTTTTAGTACTTACTGATTATTTTAATGCTTTCATAATAAAGATTAAAATAAATCTGTAAAACAAAAAATTATTTTTAAACTTCAACCGAAAAAAGTCAATTTCATGAAAAATTTAATTTTTGCTACTGATTCTCAACGTAAGTCAAATAAATTAAACAGATCATTGCTATCTTATTTTTTTGAGAACAGCAAACTATAAAATATGTTTCAGTTTTCAGTTTACAAAAAAAGTGACTATACCACATTACCAACCTATACCACATTTGCATCACTTCCTATACTCTAACGGTAATTTTATTTTCAAATATAAGTTTTCCATCTCTATCCTTTCACTCAAATTTAAATAAGTAACCAAGTGATCCTACACTCACACTCCAACCTTAATTTTAATTCCGCTCACACAAAACGAATTGTACTATATTTAGTACCATTTAATGCTTCTCGTATCCATGAGTATGAAATTCCAATACTACCTTAATTCTGTAATTTTCATTTCAAATTTAAGTTTTTCATCTCTATAAGTTCACTCAAAAATAAAATTGTACCAAATTCAGTACCATTTAGTAAACATACTGACGAATTATCAAAACTACCGACATATCTTAATCCTGCACTCCAACTGTAATATTAATTAAAAATTTTAGAATCTCAGCCCTATCCGTTCACATAAAAACAATTTGTAAACTATTTGGTACCATTTAGTACTTGTTTTTTTCTACAATTCAGAATTTCCTGAACTACGTCAATCCTACACTCCAACATTAATTTTTATTCCAAAATTCTGGAGTCCAGCTCTAACCATTCACACATAATCAAGTTGTACCAAATATAGTACCATTTAGTACACACAAGTACTATGCTCCCGTATATCAATTCTATATTCCAACAGCAACCACTATTCCAAATTTTAAGTTTCCATCTCTCTCCGTTCGCCCAAATCCAAATGGTACCAAATCAAGTGCCGTTTAGTACTTTTCCTACACATAAATACGTATTTCCAAAGATGTCTTTATAGCTCAATCTTCAACAGTAATCTTAATTCCAAATGTCAGGTCTTCAGCTCTATCCTTTCAAGCCAAATGCAAAGTGTACTAAATTTTGTACCATATAGTACTTTTCGTACCAATAAGTACAAATTTCGAACACTATCGCAATCCAAAACTCCAACAGCAACAAACTACTTCCCAACCTGTATTGCATATAAAATTTCAAGATTCTAACTATATATGTTTCACATATATACAATTGGAAATAAATTTAGTAAATTTTAGTACTTTTCATACACTTATAGGTAGAATTTCGAAAAACCCTTTTTTTCTTTCGAACTTTCCATCAGTGACCCACATTCCAAATTTCAGAATTCTAGCAACATTTCAGAATTCATGGTACATTTGAGTACTTTTTGTACCGTTCTAGTTCGAATTTCCTAATACCCAGCTTTATATCACACCTACACACCAACTACAACCCACACTCAAAATTCCAAGCTTCTAGCTTTAACCGTTTCGTCTGGGCGATGATCTGTCAGTCACTCACTCACTTAAAACTAAGCTCTTTTATATATTAAGATGAACCTATAAATATCGCAAATGGTGCAGAGTCTAAAGACGGAGGCTATATATTATATTTTCCTTATTATAACAATACTAATCATCCTATGTTCAGTAGCAATGAATGGGCAAAATTTGAATGCCCTATCTTTAATATTGCGATATCTATCTTACTTTCAAAAGATTGACGGACGGATATAACTAAAACGACATAAAATTTAATTCCGATCAAGAATAATTAATTACATGTTATGGTATAGACCGAATTCCTTCATTTCCTTACGGTGTTATTTGTCAGCTATAAAAAGTATTTTTTGTTAAAAAGGATTTTATGATACTCTCTATGTTAGGGCCTTAATAATACTTTATGATCATCTACATATTAACATAGATTTTTATATAAGAATATCATCTGCGATCGTATTTTATTCCGCTGCTACGTGACATTCATTTCATTTTCTACAATGTTGCACAATTTTTAATGCAATAAACCGTATATGTTTTAACTAGCCCTCCTACATTTTCAAAAACTGCAGCGACAGATACTTAAACTACAACTTCATTTCAATTGACAATAACTTAAAAAATAAATTTCTGAACCCTATAAAAAGGACAATGACAAAATGTAATAATAAAATACCAAAAATTTGTATCTGCACTTTGTACAAATTGCCGTACATAAACATAAATACACTTTTCATGAGGCTAACCTTAGACACCGCTATACGATACACTCTTTAAATTGCAAGTTGTACTTACTCTGATTCACAATCGGCCGATATAAAATTTTATAGCCCTGAATTATGCCACCGTGAAATTGCAATGGTGGCTCCAGCCAGGATACTTTTAGACTTTGTGACGATAATGCGGTACAGTTGACATGTTGCGGTGCTGCTTCCGGCACTGTAATATGCATTTACGTTACGTTTTAAAAGAGATAGACGAACGTAGTAGAATGCAAAAAGTAAGAAAGAAAAAAGAGAAAACAAAAATGTTATATAAATGCATATAAAAATTATATGTCACTCAGTGAATTAACGTTAGTAGGTGATGGCGGGTAGATGGTACAGTGGTTTGTGAATGTGCTGCAAAAAAATTTAATTATTATTATTAAAATACATTTTGAAGAGTAATTCATTTAACAAATGATTTCGATATTATAAAAATGAACAAATAATCAATTTGAGAAGCAGAACTCCCATTCTGCCTACAATAATTACATGTCCTTGGTGGCGTATAAAGAATATTAACTCAAATTGTGTGATAATTATACGTCCAGATGGTCATAAACAAATGTAAGGGTTCAATAATCATCTATCCCATTACGAAAGGCGTGTGGATAGACTGAGTTTATGGAAATTGACAGCGGCGAAGAATAATGAGCTAAGAAGTCTTTTTTTTTAATTCGCCTAATATATGGTAGAATTGGTATTGTATGAACAATAATCAAGATTAAGAATTTTTTGTTAAGTGAGTGGTTCGTGACATGAGATGAAATCATGGTTTTGGCAAATATTGAATAGAAGTGCTACAGAAATTTGCTGTTGGTATGTATGATTGTAATAATAGGGTATTTTCGAAATTTTGTATTAAATGTACACTGAAATGGGTACCAATGACATATATTCTAATAGAACAGGAACTCTGACGTTGGGTTAACAATATGTGTGTAGGATTAAGATAAGGCTGTTGTTCTGTCAATTAATATTTTATGTCTGCTACATTAATTGCAATATGTAGGGAAGGAATGGATATTGAATCTTCAACATTGATACAATTTTGTGTTTGGAAATGTGCGATTACGAAAAATTCTAAAAGCTCTTATTTTGGTTGATCAAAAGAAGTTACTAGTGGTTGGAATTATGACGATGGCTCTAGAAATTCTTACTCTAAGTGTGAGTGAAATTTTGTGGCTAGCACTTAAATTATTATATTTGGCTCATGAACGGTTGTAGTATATAGGATATCCAAGAGTTATCCAATTCATGGATTCAAAAATATGGGACTAGAATTCGACATCTCTCAAACTAAGCTTTTAAACCATTTTTATACAATGTTCGGCCCATTTTTGTTCACCTTTGCCTCTCTTATGACCATTTCCAGCAAGATGTAAAAAGGCCACACGACAAACTGTCACCTTCTTGGAAACCTTGTTCGGTATTAAAGGGCTCCGAGAGGTCCTTTCCGACTTTAACTGCTGAACTTGTGCCAGTTAGAGTTATCCTGCATAGCCGTATTAATTTTGCAGGAATCTCGAACACAGACATAACTTTAGACACTTCTGAACGGACAGGTTTGTCGAATGCGGCTTTATAGTCGACGTATAGGTGGTATGTGTTTTTCGTGGGTCAGGATTTGGCGCAGATTCAAAAGTATGGGACTAGAGTTCGACATCTGTCAGACTAAGGTGTTACACCATTTTTATACCCTCCACCACTCTGTGGTACAGGGTATTATGTCTTTGTGCATATATTTGTAACAGGCAAAAGGAAAAGAGAAAAAGACCCCAGGTTCCTTTTGAGAATATACGTAGAATCACATTCTGAGTCTAATTATGTTTATCCGTCTGTCTGTCCATGTTAAATAAATAAAGTACATGTCGCATTTATGATCCGAATGATAACGAATGGTTCAGATTTGGATATAGCTTCCATACATATGCTTGTCCGTATTTCTGTAAATGATGCACTGAACTCAAACACTTGGTCCGATTCAAACGAAATTTGAAATAACCTACTGTATTGAGTCTACAGTAACGTATGTCAAGTTTAGTGAAAATCGGTTCAGATTTAGATATTTCCCTCCGTTTTTATGCAAATGGTGCACCAAACTCCCAATATATGTTCAATTGAGAAACATTTTTGCATAGCCTTAGAATCGTTTAAGATTTAGATATAGCTCCTACACACATTTTCGTCTGATTTTATGTAAATGGTACACAGAAGCTTTTATACTTCTCTCGATTTACATGATGTTCTGCATAGCGTATCAAATTTAGTCTATGTTGGCCAAGTTTCCTTAATATCGGTTCAGATTTAGATATAGCTCCCATACATGTGTTTATTCGATTTTAGGTAAAAGGAGTCCTAAACTCCAATTATTTGTCCGATTGAGACGACATTTTGCATTGAATATTAAATTGAGTGTTTTGTTGAAATCGGTTTAGATATTTTTGTCCGATTTGATGTAAATGGTGCACCAAAAATCTACGTTTGTTCGATTTATACGAAATTTTGCACATCGAATTCAATTGGGTCTAGAATGATATTTATTGAAATCGGTTCAGATTTAGACATAGCTCCCATATTTATTTTCATCCGATTTTGTAATAGGTGTACCTGTTACACGAAATTTGCACAGCCTATTGAATTGCATCTAAAATGGCGTAAGATGGGAATAGCGCGTAATGGATATTTTAAAATATGTTCTGATGTGGATGTAACCCTTATTTATTTTCGTTTGAGTTGACGCTGTACTGCAGCATATCAAATAGTGTGTGCCACGTTTGCTCATATCGGCCCAAATTTACATATAGTTCCGATACATAATTTGTGACATATGGTACACCAAAGAACCCATGTCTGCCCGATTGACGTGTTTTTCATAGATTTCAGAATGGTATGAGTATGGATTGATTTAAACTAGTTCAAATATCTATTTATATCACTTATTTAAGTATGTCCGATTTCATTTTTTCTATCGAAAAGGTTCAAAAGGTTTTCTCTTCATGTAAAAGTCTAACATTGACGAAAATGGAGAAAGACAGTGAAAACGTACAGATATCTTGTCTTAGAGAACCCCATCTGAGACCTTAGGAGCGAATTTTAATTAGAATATTTGTACGTCAAAAATCTTGGACTTAAGGTACAAAAAAAAAACATTTGATTTTGACCGACGACATATAATCTACAAATAATGTGTAATAGCTGCAAACAAAGATGTAAAAAACATTAGATTTTTGTTTGCAGCTATTACACATTTATGAATTCTAAGGTCACAGACTTTTGCAGTGTCGAATTTGTTCCACTGGGTTCTAAATAAACTCGCTGATCAGGATAGTACACAAAAATTCTATTATAGTACTGGGCCAAAAACCCTGTCGTGAGTGCAGTGTAAGAAAATTATTAGAATTTAGACGTATGCGTGTCGCTATTGGGACAAACATGCTGTAAACTTTTGAGATACATGTATACGAATTTATCTTGCCACAAAAGTAACTAATTTTGATTGGAATTAATTCTTTTATATGAGTCCGAAGATATAATTTTGGTAAAACTTGTCCCCTTTGCCAGTTGTGGTATGGGCAGAACGCATATTTATACTTCATGGCCTGAAAACTTTCCATTCCATTATAAGTACTATAAGAAATAGAAGCTACAGTTCCATATCTACAAAAAATATAAATTTTTAATTTTTATACCAGAACCTTAATAATTTCTACCTTCCCACCCCGCCTATAAAAGTTTATCGGTTTCAATCAAAGCCATTAAGTAATTTACATCGTAATTTACAAAAATAACACTTATTTTATAAACTTAAAATCCATATAACCCTCGACCATTTATCTTCTTTGTCTTGTTTTAGCTTGGCCAAGTCAACTTTTAAGTTATTAAATTTAATTACATCATTCCGAGTCCCTTAAACCACTTTTATGCATCATTCTACATTGGTATAAATGTTTTTAATATCCAACCATTAACGAAAAAATACAAATAGCCAGCACACCGTCGTACCATCGCTGGTGTCCGTATAAGGAACATATAATGCCTTGAGGCCATTTACGAATTGTCTAAAAGTAAAAATACTACAACATACACACATACCTAAGTATGTATAGCCAACGTTTGGAAAAACGGAAAAAGCGGGAAGATATATGAGACCGGTGTTTCTATAATACATGAAAGCTCTTCCGACAGTTTATATTTTGTGGCACACAAATAAACCCACAAAAATAAAAAAATAAGAAAATTCCAAAGCAAAGCTAACAATGAACCAAAAACAGAAAAAAATGGAAACATCCAAGAAGAATTGTGATAAAAATAGCACATAACACGACGACGACGACGCTAAAAGCATTTTTAATGTTTGTTGTTATTAAGATAACAATTTGTACATCTGTTACCTTCAATACAAAAAAATACGAACGTGGGCATGCAGGCGAATAACACGTAGAAAACGCGAGTGAGTGAATGAATGAGTGAGTAGAGGCCATGGCAGACAGACAGACACAGCAACAACAATTGTCTGCCAAGGATTCTTTGTGCCACTTATTATATTTTTATTTAAGCTAAAGTGAGAACTATACACTGCTCACATCCACACCACATAAACGTCACCGTCATCATCATCACCATCGCTCGCCATCGCCAGTGAATACTTTGCACTTTTTATCCACGGCATTTTTGTCTTTACCACCTCTACTACTTTACTCTACACTTACCTCCCTCAGATGTTGTCCCAAAGATGGGCGTACTCCATGGTCCCGAACCAAAACTATTCAAGGCTCGCACCGTAACCGCATACCGGGTATACTTTCGTAAGCCACGTAATGTGGCCTTCGTTGTGGCCCAGCCACTTACAATCACAGACTTCAGTGAATTATTGACAACGCTAATGTAGTTGATATTCTGTTTTTCTTCGCTACAGTTGACGGTATAGCCGATGAGTTCGCCATTCCAGGATTCACGTGGTGGTATCTGCAACAAGATGGAGAAAAGAAAGAAAACAGAAAAAAATATTAAGAGAATTAAGGTATGTAGATTAAAGTTGGGAAAGTGAAAAAATGTTAAATAGTTTGGACAAACAAAATCTGTAATATTAACTGAAAGTAAATATATACTTGGAATTCGATTCGTTCGATTTGATTAATAAAATAGCATTGGATGTTGTTTTATAAGGTAGAATGTGCATTAAATTGGTCAACATCTTAAAATATTCGTCGGAGACGAATAAGATTTATATACTTCTGATCAGAATAAAATTCTATATATATATTTAGCAACTTTTAGTAGGGAGCTTCAAAATATCCTTATAACGGAAATAGACATAATCTAACAATTTTTTAATATTCCATTTTCAAAAAATCACTTTTTTTTTGTGGCACATCAATGATTTTTGGTACACATATAGAGAAAAATGTTCTGACTCCGAAACCGTTCGCAATCAAATTTTTGGTTGATGCGCGCAAAAGTTATGGAGGTTTTAATTTTGGGCTTAAGAAAAAAATCTTAAAATTACGCCGTTTCTTACATTGACCAAAAACGTTGATATAGATTTTCCTCCGTAAAATAAGAATATGAATATATTATAATAATCGCGATAATGTTGCACATATTCGCGAAATATGAGAAAAATAAAAAATATATAGCAGATTACATCAATATTTTCAATATATTAATGACATGCACACACCAAAAAAATAATTTAAAAATATCTACATAATCTAAACACCATGATGTAGCGGTTTCTAAATCAAAGCGACAACAAAACAAGATATTGAGGAAAAATATTTGTTTTTGGTTCGAAAAAATAATGTCATCATATTTATTTTTTTAATTGTATACAAGAAATTTCAGAAAAAAAATTTGGGGTTATTGTGCTATTTTATCCGAATTTCGCCGAAAAATTTACCTATATAATAACAATTACTTCTTGTGTTTATTATTATATAGGTCAAGACCCTTCCCACCCTTAGAATTAGGAATAAATCTTTAAATAAAATTATATTATGAAATATACATTTTAAATTACGTGTAAATCGCGTAATTATCAAAATCTGATGCGCATGCGGTTTCCAGGAAGTACAGAAGTTTATCTTCCAATCCATATATATTTTGCGAAATTTCATTTGACGGCTAAGATGTGCCACACGTTACATTGAAGTACACAAAAACTCGTAAAACGCGAATAATTTCCGAAAACACCATATGCCATTGACGCGCATCCGATTTCGGTGTGCAACCTAAAAAACATACATCGATCTATACCGATTTCAATGTGGTCCATTAAGAACCATGGATGTGCCAGCTCACACTATTTTTGAGATAAATTGCGTCTAAATCGCGTAATCCTCAAAATCATTTGATGCGCATGCGGTTTCCAGGAAGTACTGAAGATTATCTTTTAATCCATATATATTTTGCGAAATTTCATTTGACGGCTAAGATGTGCCGCACGTTACATTGAAGTACCCAAAAAATCGTAAAACGGGAATAATTTCCGAAAACTCCATATACCATTAACGCGCATCCGATTTCGGTGTGCACCCTAAAAAATACATCGATCTATACCGATTTCAATGTGGTCCATTAAGAACCATGGATGTGCCAGCACAATCTATTTTTGAGATAAATTGCGTACATCTCTCTTTCTGAAGTTTTAAAAGTTTTCTTTTCGAAAAAGATCAAAATACGTATGTGGTCATTTATTGAAGCGGAAATGATACACAGAAAACGCAAGTAAATCCGCGATATTTTCAAAAACATTTGTTGCCAAATTTCGTGTTTTTGGAATGCCAGTTCTCGCCGTTCTAGTAGATGGATTTTCACGAAGAAGATTTTATATCATCCGAAACGTAAAAAACCTAATTGATCGCGGGTACCCATATCATTCAGTTGACAGATCTAAAAATTTGGCCCGAAAAATAGGTTTTTTAGAAATTTGATCGCACAAAATTCGCACCTTCGGATGAGTATTACTCTGAAGCTGTGCATACTACATACACAAAATACATATCAAATTACGCAGATTCGCGACTACAATAATCTTATAATCGATTTTTATAAATTCCTGTTTGCGTATTAAAGCTAGAAGTAAAATTAAAAAAACACTCAAAATCGAGCTTCAAAATGTCAGCATCATTTAAAGGTAGATGCAGTTAAAATTTTGAAAAATGATACATAAGGGGCGTAGTCCCCATTTTGTTGGCTTCTAGTTTTATTTTGAGACGAAGACCGTGCAATGAGTGGCTTAGTCACAAATCCTGTTTTTACACATTTTTTACATTAAAGTAGACACAGCATTCAACAAAATTAAGTTTGGAGGTCAATATCATGAACAGTTTGCAACGACAGACCAATTAACCCAAAACTATTCACTTTTTTCATATACTTAAGTAGTTCCCGAGTTATAAATAGGTGAACCTCCGCTTCAGCTATGTTAAAAAATTGGCAATATTGCCCATATAATAATTTTCTGAATTAATTTAATTCTTTTGAGCAAAGTACAATACGCATTTTTGATCCGATTTGGATAAAACTTGGCACGGGCCACTTATTTGTCCCAATGACGAACCCTATTGAAATTAGAGAAAGTCGGTTCAGATTTAGATAAATCGTCGATATACATTTTCAATTTTATGTAAGCGGTGCACCATACTCCGATTGGTGCAAGGTTTATCCGAATGAGACAAAATTTTGAATCAAGTACAGATTGACGTTTGTGCTTTTTGTTGAAATCGGTTCAGATTAAGTTATAGCTCCCATATATATTTTCGTCAGATTTTATGTAAATGGAGCACACAACTCCCAGAGTCCTCAATTAAGTGCAGATTGGCGCATCTGAACTTCTCTTTGAAATCGGGTCAAATTAAGTTGTAGATATAGCTCCCATGTATATCTTACGGCCTTTTTATGTAAATGGTGCACGAAAATCTCTAAGGTTTGCCCGATTTAGACGAAATTTATATTTTTTGAAAAAAAAAAAATAAATATATAACAGGCGTAGTAATGTTAATGATTATATTTCAAGAACTATAACAGACGATTTTTTTTAAGGACCATTACAAACTTGGATTTCTTAAAAATATTGGCGTGGATTTTTTAAATATGTTTTCAGAATCAAATACTGGCTTCGATTTTTAAATAGTATTTTTGCATAGAATACAACAGGTGACAATAGTTTTAAAGGCGTATATTTTAATTGATATTTTTCCAAGGAGTATATAAGCGAGGATGTTTAAAAGAATATTTTCCCCAAGACTATTTTGGGCGAGGGTTTTTAAATTTTTTCCAAGGACTATATTAGGCTAGTATTGTTTCAAGAATATTTTCCCAAGGACTGTAGTCGGCGAGGATTTTTTAAAGATTATTTTTCCGAAGGACTATATTGGTTGGGGATTTTTTAAAGAACATTTTTTCCAAGGACTATATTAGGAGTGGATTCTTTAAATAATATTTTACCAAGGACTATATCAGGCGAGGATTTTTTTAATAATATTTTTCCAAGGACTATATTATGTAATGTTTTTTAAAGAATATTTTTCCAAGGACTATATTAGGTGAGAATTTTTTAAAAAAAATTTTACAAGGACTATATCAGTCGAGGATTTTTTAAAGAATATTTGTTCCAAGACTATATTAGGAGAGGATTTCGTTAAGATTATTTTTCCATGGACTATATTAGGCGAGGATTGTTTAAAGAATATTTTGCCAAGGAGGATTTTGTAAAGAACATTTTTCCAAGGATTATATCAGGTGAGGATTCTTTAACGAAGATTTTTTTCTCAAGGAATATTTTAGATGTGGATTTTTAAATAGTATTTTCTTAATTAATATTTTAAATTTTATATTTCAATAAAACCAAAAATTACCTAGCCTATGGTTTCCCGATGTTTATGGAATTACTGTTTGGTGTCGAGGTGGAACATTTTTATAAAATTTATCATTTTTATAATTCTTACAGTTTATGGGCGTGGAAACGAAGATGATGGACCTGTAAGACCACATACAATTCACTATTTGCTTTATAGAAGGTATATATTTTTGAATCAGGATTGAATCAGGCTTTCCATTCGCTTGGTATTTGGTAAAATTGTGACACCTTGTGGAGGAGGTACTCGTAATAGGTTTGTTAAAAATAGCATGATGTTCAAAGCTTGAATGAAATTTGGATATTCCGTTTACTTCATATGATATTTACAAAATCGTAAAATTTTGACCTTTATTGAAGGAGGTATTAGCAAAAGTGGAGCAAGAGGTTCCATCTTCGGACCCAATATAGAATGAAATTTGGATATTCCGTTTACTTCATATGATATTTACAAAATCGTACAATTTTGACCTTTATTGAAGGAGGTATTAGCAAAAGTGGAGCAAGAGGTTCCATCTTCGGACCTAATATAGAGTGGCTAATATAATAAGAATTTGGATTAAATTGGACATTAAATCGCTTAATATTGACGGATTTTGTAAATCGATCGCAAATTGTCTGAAACGGATTTGGTCCAAAGAAACATGGGGGTACATATTTCGGTACCCTTAATTGGCATAAAGCAAACCACGTCTGATTTTCAAATTGTGCACCAATCGTTTCCCTTATTCCGAAATTTTGCACAGCGTATCAAACTTCGTTTTGAATAACGTGTTTAAATTTTGTTGAAATCGGTTCAGGTTAATATATAAATCCTGGATATTTTTTATCCGATTTCTGAACCCAATAACAAACAAAATGTTGCACACCCCTTGGGCTGGATCCAGTGGCACAGCTTTTAACAAATGTATTCTCCTCTCACAATATAAAATATACATAATACATGAATTGAATCAGATACTCTCTTAGTGTAATACGAAGATTACAAGTGGTTATGACCTTTTTTATAGGAAGTATCAAAATTTTAAATAAACATTAACATTTGGAATGTGGGAAATACATTTTTAATATATTCTTTTATGGAACAAAACCATGCGAAACTCGACTC